TGGGTATGTATTCTCAGTCCTGAGAGGAGAATAAAGGAACAGGGATTGTGGCATGGCCACATGCTCTGCAGCCTGGTTGGGTGGGTGTGGGGGTTCTCCCTTTCTCTGTGTCTCTCCAGCGAGCGCACACACCTATTGCAAAAATCTCTCTTAAAAAAATTTAATATACCTCTTTGTTAGGAAAAATCAGATAGTACAGAGTAAACTCTAAGGTGAAAATGTAAGTCACTCAATTACCCAGAGAGAACGACTGACAGTTTGGCGTTATGTCTACATCCCAGTGCTGTGGTGTGAATATGTCCCCCAAAAGACTTATGTGTTTATGGGGCCAGGACGTGGCATGGTGGTTAAGGGTGCTAGACACCCACATGGCCAACCACAGTTGTCTGTCTCTATCCCCCCCCCCCCATCCCTCTCTGGTCAAATAAAATAAATAAATAAAGTTAAATAAAGTAATTATTTTTTAAAAAAATAAAGATTTATGTGTTTAAAGCTGGTTGCTGGTGGGGGCTGGCAAGTGAGGCAAGTGATGTGATGTTTAAGGGCAATGAACTCCCACATGGCTGACTTTGGTTCAAGCCCCAAACCTGGCAGCTTGTTCTCTCTCTCTCGCTCTTGCTCTCGCTCTCATTCTCACTCACTCTCTCTTTGTCCTTCTCCAGTCAAATTAAAATAAATAAATAAATAAAGTTAAATAAAATAATTTTTAAAAAATACTATAAACAAAAAGAATTGAAACTTTATCCAGCTATACTGTTGACAGGCAAGGACTTTGGGGAGTGTTTAGGCATCAGGATAGAGACTCAGTGATTGGATATTTGTGTATTTATAGGAAGACACAGACATATAAGTGATTTTTGTTGTTGTTTTGTTTTGTTTTTGCCAGAAGGTACATGAAATTGCCAGAGAGAGAGAGGAAGGGAGAAGGCACCACCACCCTCCCCCTGAGTGGGATGTGATTACACTGCATTCCCGTCTCCTCCATCATTTCTCCGTCCTGTCAGGATTTGGGGCATGTCTACACACTTGCTTTGTGTGTCTCTTTCTTTAAGAATTATTTAGGGATGAGCAGATGATGTAGTAGTTACATTGCTGGACTCCCACATGGCCAACTACAGTTCGAGTCCTGGACCTGGTAGCTTAAAGCCCACAAAGGGGAACCAGCAAATGGTATAATGGTTGTGTCACTGGACTCCCATGTACTCGACTGCAATTCGAGTCCCAGACCTCACGCCAGATGTGTGTGCATGTGTACCCACCCAGGGTCCCAAGAGGAGAATGGAGAAGAAGGGATTGCAACATGGCCGTTTCTCACTTTCTGTCTGTCTGTCCCTCTTGGGAGTGCCAGTGCCCTATAATAAAAAACCTCTCTTTTTAAAAAGGAACCAGCAGTTGGTGTAATGACTATGTCACTGGACTCCCACCTAGTCGACCATGGTTCAAATCCTGGACCTGGTAGTTTAAACTCACATTGGGTCCATGTATGTGTGTGCCTAAGATCCCAAGAGGAGAATAGAGAAGGGATTGTGGCGTGACCATCCTCCCTGGGGGGTGATCTCCCTTGGTGTCTTTCCAGCGCCCTATAGCAAAAACCTCTCCCCCGCCCCCCCCCAAAAGAAAAATAAATAAAAACTCACGTATGCATGCCAAGATCCCAGGAGGAGAATGGAATAGAAAGGATTTGGGCATGGTCATTACCCCCAGAGGGCAGTTTTCATTTTCCCTCTCACTATCTCTCTCTTCAGTGAGCACATGTGCCCTAGTAGCAAAAATTATTTATTTAATTTTATTTAGTACTTTTTAATTTGCTATGGGACGTGTGTGCTTACCAGAGAGAGAAAGCACCCAGATCCAGGACTCAAACCTCAAACCATGCTCATCCATATGGGACCCCAACACCTTAACCATACCATCTGCTGGCCTCCCACCTTGTGTCTATCTCTTTTTTTTTTTTCTTTGAGAGAGAGAGAGAAAGATTTTTGCTATAGGAGGGCTTGTGTACTCAGCAGAGAAAGAGACAGAAAGCAAGAAATCATTCCCAGAGGGGATGGCTACATTGTAATCCTTTCTCCTTGGGATCTTGGGCCCACACACATAGGCACCTGGCATGAGTTTTAAGCTGCCAGGTCTGAGACTCAAACTGTGGTCAACTATGTGGGAGTCTAGTGACATAACCATTATGCTGTCTGCTAGTCTCCCCATGTTATATGTCTTTAAAGCCACCAGAGGGACCAGCAGGTGGCGTGGTGGTTAAGGCGCTGGACATACCCCACATGGCCAGCCACAGTTCAAGTCCTGAATCTAGTGGCTTTCGTTCTCACTTCCTCTATCTGGTCAAATTAAAATGAATGAATGAGTAAATAAAGTTAAATTGATATTCTAAAAAATATAAAGGAAGTAAGAAAGAAAGCCACCAGGATAAGGATTCAAAGCACATGGTTGGGGGCAAGCAGTTGATGTGGTGGTTAAAGATGCTGGAATACCCCATGACTAACCACGGTTTGCATTCTCACTTTACCTCTCTCTGTGTCTTTTTCTGGTCAAATTTAAAAACAGTAATAATAATTAATAAGGGGCTGGCAGGTAGCATAGTGGTTGAGGGTGCTGGGCTCCCACATGGCCAACTGCAGTTCAAGTCCTGGACTTGGTGACTTGCTTTCTCACTCCCTCCCCCATTCTGTCCCTCTCTGGTCAAATTTTAAAATTAAATTATTATAAATAGATAAAGTTAAATAAAATAATTCTTTAAAATAATAATAAAGTTGAATATTTTATTTTTTTGGAGGGTTTTTTTTGTTTGTTTGTTTTGTTTTGTTTTGCTATAGGGTGCGTGTGCTCACCAGAAAAACAGAGACAGAGAGAAAGAAACAGAGAAATCACACCCCTGGGGGGATGGCCATGCTGTAATCCCTTCTCCTCCATTCTCCTCTCGGGATCTTGGGCACACAACTGCTGGTCTCTAATTATTAAAAATTTTAAAAAGCACATGGTTGGTCATATGGGTTCTAGCTCCCAACCACCAGGCCACGGGGTCAGCCCTTTTTTTTTAAACGCCAAAGAGCATGTGCACATGTATAAGAGAAAATGTTCCTAATGTGGTTTGCAACCCTTTTTCTCTAATTCTCCATCCCATCAGGATCTTGAGCTGTGTCTTGTTTTTAAGCCACTTGGCTGGGACTTAAAACTTGGTTGTCCATGTGGGAACTGGCTTCCTAGGGGGCCAACCCAAGACCCCTAAACTTATTCCAAACTCTCGTTTCCCTGTGTTGGCTCTGTGCTACCTTGGGACTCTACAGAGTCCTGACCAGAAGGCTGTCAGCAGATAGAACCCTTGGACCCTGTACCTCAAACTTCTATTATAAATTACCTTCAATCAAGTATTTCTGTTGTAAGCAACACAGTGGACTAAAGCACACAGCATACATACAATCAATAAAATACTTTGTAGACTTTTAAAAAATTTGCTATAAAGTGCATGTGTTCACCAAAGAGGGACAGAATCAAGGGAGAAAGACAGAGAAACTGAGAAAGCACCCACCCAGGGGATAACCACCTGCAGTCCCTTCTCGCACCCTGCGTGAGTTTAAGCCACCGGGTCTGGGACTCGAACTGTGTTCGACTTCATGGGAATCCAGTGACATAGCCATTATGCCAACTCCTGGTCCCCGAGTAGTGGAATTATACATTTTTCCTTACTGTTGTTCTTTATAGAACCTCGTGAAGGACCTTGATGAACTGGAAGAGAATCACCCTCTGTGGTTGAGCAGAGGGGAGGGAGTGGGTGCCTGTTCTGGCCAAGCTGTGAGGAGCTGGGACCTGCAGGACACAGTGGGTGGGAGTCGGAACAGAATCAGCCATTCTGGAGGGCATTTTCACAGTACCTACAAGACCCAGCAATTCTGTATTTAGGAACTTTCCTGGGGAATTATTTGGACACCTGTGCTAAGATGTATGGTTGCAGTGTTGAACCGTGGGCTACTGGACAGAATGCATAGCATTTGACACGTGGATTTAAAATTCTGTATCATCAGATATGTGTAAAATGTCTAAAAGGATATGCATCAAACTGAGAAAACTGGAAATGGTCTCCTGGTGGCCAGCTTCCTCAGGGAGGCTTTCCCTTTACCTTTCTGTGTTCCCATTTGCTCAGTTAACGGTTTTGTGTTCAGTGATGACAACTGACTGGGCACACTTCCTGTGGGGAGGTAGTAGAGGAATGTGCTTTGTTCTCCAGGATGGTGGTTTGAGGGGCAGGTGACAGTATCAGCTCCAGTTTGTCCCCTGGATGCCCCATCCTGGCCTAGAAGGGCCGGTGTCTGTGTGGGTTGTGAAGACTTTCTGCTTTTCTTTAATTTCAGACCCTAAAATTGCCCCTGCCTTCTGCATGTTAACACAGGCCTGTTCCCTGGCACTTGTCTGGGAATAGCACATAGAACCCATCACCCATTATGGGTAAGAAGAGAATTGCGGGAATGTGACCGGGGCATTGAAACATCTGATATTTGTAGGCCCTTATTTTTAGGAAGCACAGATATAGTCTTTCCTTTAACTTAAAAAAAAAAAAAAAAAAAAGGGTTTGAAAAAAATTTTTTCTTCCCAAAT